ATAAGCAAACAGAGAACTTGTTACTAACCACTGTACCCATTATCAAAACCAATAAGTGGAGTTTCGTGCCTCGACCAACCCTGAAACCATTCATTAACTTGTATCATTTCGATTGTAGTATTGTACAGATTATTATAGGTGCGTCCTTATGTACTTTGTGTTTTATGGTGTTTAAACTTTATTGTCAATTTCCTTGGTTATGTATCTCCATGTTAGGGATGTCTAATTTTGCAAATGTGCTATGTAAACATTTTATCTTTGTTTTTGTGTGAATTTTGTATGTAAGCTTGCAAGCAACTTTTATCCAATTTCTATATGTAACCAATGTATTGATTTTCGGCCCCGCCGCGGTGGTCTAGTGGCTAAGGTACTCGGCTGCTGACCCGTAGATCGCGGGTTCGATTCCCGGCTGCGGCGGCTGCATTTCCGATGGAGGCGGAAATGTTGTAGGCCCGTGTGCTCAGATTTGGGTGCACGTTAAAGAACCCCAGGTGGTCAAAATTTCCGGAGCCCTCCACTACGGCGTCTCTCATAATCAAATGGTGGTTTTGGGACGTTAAACCCCACAAATCAATGTATTGATTTTCGTCTGTTTCTGTCTGTGCTCATATCGAAGTTTAGCACGAATTGCGGAGGGACAGGTGTCTTTGTCAAACTCGTTGACTTCGACCCTTGCCCCTGCAGTGAGCCCTGTACAGTGCTTACTGTAAATAAAGTACTCTTACTCTTACTCCTCGAATATGTTGAGGGGATGCTTCCTCCCCCCTCCTGCCCTCCAACTCTTATCAGAGATTCGTTTGTTCGATTGTTCCTCGATCGCTGGCGAGGGATTGCGCCACTTTTTTTTTTCCTTCTTTCATCGAGCTCCCACTTGATGTGCAAGTCGGGACCATGTGTGCTGCTTCCTGGTGCACAGAAAAGAGAAGGAAGCGGATAAACGCCGGTGCGTGGTTCTGCAGTCGTGGGAGAACAGGAAGAGTGTGCACAGAATGAGGTGCGTGAAGAGGAGGGAAAACTAAAGTTGCCAAGGAAGGTCCCTTCGGCAGATGAGGGCCTGCGGAAGCAGCGCATATATCTCCAGAAGGATTCCTGGGCTGCATTCGCATAATCAGAAACAGCTTGGTGCAGCGAATTTCGCTCGCGAGATGTCAGTAATACAAACAGAAGCCCTTGAATACACGTGAACTTGTCGTACTACAGGTCCCGAAAATACTACAAGGGCATGTGGTCGGAGCACTTCATGTGCGTCGTTGCTTCGATCAGTTGTTTTGCGCAACGACTATAACACGGCTATATGAAACTTTGAACACAGTGGAGTCCTTTAAGGTGTCTTTATATTTCCAGCCAAGTCCGGACTCAGATTACTGTTGTCTCCGAATTCTCGAATTTTGAAAACGCCAGAGTTGTTCCATGAGTGTACGACTTCGCTTGGAGAATTTGGAAACTCTGGACTGGTTTGCGTGTTATTTAGAAGATTCTTCTACTTTTGAAACATACGTACTTGATATAGAAAGCTTGAAGCTCCTACTGGTACCCCGCGAAGGCCATCGGCGTTCGCCCTCGACACAGCCGTCCACTATACCTCCTTTGCCATCTGCAGGTTGGCCAGGTTGAGGAGACGCCATATAAAAGACATAGAAGACAGTTGAGGATGAAAGGAGTGTGGCAAGTGTAACTTCCTATTTTTGGGCTTGTACTGTCAAGCAACAGCGGTGCTGTATGTACCGCCGGGATACCGCGAGAGAAGGATATGGAAGTTGCCGCCGTAGTGATCTGTGTACGCCGTTCCACTTCACGTGATTTCTTGGAGTAGATGTTGGTTGGTTGATTGTTCCTTAAAGTCTTGTTTCACACAATGTGAATTCTTTCAATTTTATGCGCAGTAATTAATTTGAAGTTGTTCTGGCTTAGAGATGAGCAAATCTGTCATAGAGCTGTAAATATATTTCTACACATATCCTAAACACCGTCTTCGTTTCTTTGCCTTTCATTTGAAGCGTTGTGGCGCTTGACGCACGTGATTTTGATTTTCTTTCACGGGCACTTACAATGGCGAAATGTGAGACGCTACTTTTCAAATCAACCCTAATGTCAGTGAAACGTCAATTGTGGTTGTAGGGCTGGTTATCCAATTTTATAATTTTGACATATATACTCATAGGATAAAGCAATCGCGCTACGTTAACGCCATTTGCAGTTAGGTGCCATGCGTTGAAGTTGATTTATTTCCAGGTAAATCCTCGCGATAACCAGCGCTTTATATCAGCTTGTCGCTCCTGGTGTTGCTGATACTCATGTTCTTGTTGGTATTGTTGCACAAGTGCAAATAACTGTTTATATAAACATCTGCAACTCTTCAACATAAGTCTGCGCGTGCAGCATTTGCACATATACTTAGCGTTATTTCATAACGTGTCACTCAATAAAAAATTACAACACGATCACCTTCCCCACGCATGCTTCGCATAACGTCGATTATCAAGGGTGGGATCTGCCGAATTTAAGGGGCGAAGCCCCTTAAGCCCTGGGTCGTGCACCCCTGATGTATGTAGTAGTAGTAGTAGTAGTAGTAGTAGTAGTAGTAGTAGTAGTAGTAGTAGTAGTAGTAGTAGTAGTAGTAGTAGTAGTAGTTGTTGTTGTTGTTGTTGTTGTTGTTGTAGTAGTTGTAGTAGTAGCAGTTGTAGTAATAGTAGTAGTAGTAGTAGGTAGCAACCTCTTGTTTAGTCCTTGGAATGTCCGCTAGATGCGGGGACTTGTATATGATGAATATATAATGAACAGATGCGAAACGGTGGTACTTGGAGTGTTCACTATATGGACGGACGGATGAACAGACAGACGCACGGACGGAAGCACGAACGCACAGATGGACACAAGGACAGACGCACAAATAAATGGACACACGAACGGTCACATGGACGGACGGAAGCACGGACGAACTGACGAACGCTTCATCCCACTCATCATCATTCACTCCGTGGGGATATGCTGTGATTTTTTCCCGTACGATGAAAACAGCGTTTCCTTAGAATGCGTTGCAGATGCTGCACGCCCTGCGTCCATTACTTGATGGTCACTCGAATAATTATCAGCAGCAGTATCAATGTACCGGACACATGCCAGAGGATGCACCACGTCTCGTATTCCGTCCTTACAACGGAACGTTTTCCTGAACCGGCTACCGCCAAGACCTACCAGTTTTAACTCGACGGTTGCTGCCCGCGAATGTGTTCCAGAACTGGTGCGTTGCTTGAGGTAATATTCGAATCACGGCGTTTAAAGTGTTCGCGTATATCTCCGTAGGCCTTTGATGTTTTCTGTATGCGGTGCCCAGCCCCGTGTCATGTGAATAAGGCTCACCAAACAACTTTTGCAGACCTCAGTGACAATTTTGGGTGGCAATTAATATGCACCCTCTGATGAAGCTTCAATAATTAGATTTCCCTAAAAATGTGGCACATATTTTGGGGGATTGGCCAAGAAAGCTTAGCGATTTTTTTTCACTTTTTTCTAGCCCCCCATTTTCTTTTCCCAGCGCAAGGTTTTCAAACCATACGCGCGTCTCCTTGACCTCCCTGCTTTTCCTATACTCATCGTCTCTCTTTCTCAGGGAAATTATCACTGGACTGCAAAGAGCGTAAACAAACAAAATATTCGACATTTGAATCAACGTCAATCAAGTCAATTGATAAGACGTATGAGCCGTGTCAACTGGCCGTTAACGACTGTTTTTGCTGCGCCAGAGGTCACGAGCCCTCGATACGCGCCTTAAATGCAACTATAATTAATTTTTTCGCTACGTGCACAGGCAACTAAGTGCTAACTTTATATCTTCATCTCGACGAAGCCTTCGCAATGTTGAGAGGCAGCGTTGCAAGTGGCTACTGTGGTGATTGTTGCCTGGCATCCAGTTGTGTTGTGAACTGCATAAGGTGCTGCCGATCAAAGCGTGTGCGTTATAATTTAAATTGTACGTGGCGTCGAAAAAAAAAGTATGAAAAATATCAGCAACAACGACGATTGAGGCCGCGCAGGCAGGCAAAGAAATTTAGTTGGATCCGGGGGCGACACTCCCGTACTCTCCCCTTAGGGGGCGAAATCGCAGCGTAATCTTGTTTACCACCATCTGCAGAAAAAATTGCCCGCAGCTTCCCTCGGGGGAACACTGAGGAGGATGCGAACCATACAATTGGTTAACGGGGTGTTAAAGTGCGACTTACTTGGGTCGATGGCTAAATTGGTTAACGTGGTTGTGTAATGGGGTGTTAAATTGCGACTTACTCGGGTCGATGGCTAAATTGGTTAACGTAGTTGTAGGAGGGGGTGTTAAATGAGTGAACACGTACGTACGTATGCGAAAGGGCGGCGCTGGTCGAAGGGACGTCGATCATTGTGTTTGTGGATTCGTTGGAATTCATTTCACCGCGACCTTGGACGTCGACGCGCCGTACAAACCAACCGACGAGCGGCAACTGAGCGAGCGAGCGCCGACCTTGAGTATATATACAGCACGACGGCGCATGCACTGTCAGCTGTTGAATGTTCTCGAAGCGCGACGCCACATGCGCGTCCACTGGAGAATCAGGAGAATTGTAGATGTCGAACGCGGTGTGTAGAGGAGGAAGGGTGCACAGATGGTGGAGGAGTGAAGCGCGCGCGGTGTGTAGAGGAGGAAGGGATGCACAGATGGTGGAAGAGTGGGCGACGGCGCGACGGCGCATGCGCGCGCGTCAGCTGTCGAATGTTCGAGAAGCGGCGCGGACGGCGCACTACAAGGCGCGAGTATAAGATGCTCCGCATCTAAAAAAGAACCATATATCTAAAAAAAACCGTTAGTGACAAAAGATAGATATCAATGCAGGCGTCTGTGGGCCACGTCGCATGTTTTGACCAAATACACATGATACAAACGAAACAGAAACACTCGTGTTTCGCGAGCGTTTCTCAGTTTTTCGATAGCGATTTTACGAAAGACCCTTATTTATGCAATTCACAAAGAAGGCGTGACTAAGGGCGTCGGGGCAAAGAAAGGAAAGAAAGAAGAGAGTGGGGCAGTAAAATATTCTTTTTTTTTTTAGAAATTCTGTTAAGCGCTGTCGGAATAAGCCAAGAAAGGAGCAGGATACATTGTGCTGCTTCGAGGTACATCACTTCATCGTATTGTCGATGCCGAACGGCCACTGGGCTGCTCGCGTCTTGAGGAGGACAGAGAAGACGCCGTATTCCAATACGGTGACTCGTGCCATGTTGTAGGAACATTATCACCATCATCATCGCGCACCGATGTGCGCGAGGCGCTGGCACTCTCACTGACGTAGGTGCGCGTCTCGCGGTCTTCCAGGGCAGAGACTGCGCCTGATTGTGCCGATCTCAGCCGGCAGCTGCGGAGTGGAGTTCGAGCGGCATCGCTCCCACCAAGAGCCGCCGCCTCGCAAGCCTCGAACCGTCAGAAGCTACCACCAATATGGCGTGCGCTACGCTCAAGAGATCCACCAGCTGCGACCCGCTGAGCCCCGACGGAAGTTCGGCGAAGCGACGAAGGTTGAGCCTGGCGACGTCGTCAGACACTGTGCCGCGTCGTACCCTCCAAGCCAGGCCGCAGCAGGCACACTCTTCATCCTTCGTCGACGCGACGCCAAAGATTACGTCCGAGGAAATCGAGGCCTACGTCCACGATGAGATGATGCGTCTCCAGCATCGCAGGCAGCTGTTCTACCAGCAAGGATACCAATACTGTGCCGCCTCCCCCGCCGGGCCCGATGCGATGCCGCCTCAGGGTGCAAAGACCGAGCAGCCTGCCTTCACGTTCCGCCAGGTGGGCATGATCGTTGAGCGCATGGTAAGCGAGCGAGAGAAGCAGCTCCGCGAGGTCTATGACCGCGTGCTGTCCGCCAAGCTGGCCGAACAGTACGACGCTTTCGTCAAGTTCACACACGACCAGATTCAGAGGCGCTACGGCAGTGTCAGGCCGAGCTACTTGTCGTAGCGAGCCGAACCGTACTATGGTGCAAGATGGATGAAATGGCAGTGACGCAATGTGGGGCGGGGAGAAACATCGGGTCTGGTCCTCGACAACTGAAGCAACGGCGGTCAAAACTGAGCAAAAGGTTCATCATCACTTTGGGGTCTAAAAAAAGAAGAAAAAAAATGCAGCGCTTCCTCATCTTTCTGCAGAACATTGGATAGGGCAACTACACGATAGTGTTGTCATGCATTAACTCTGTATTGCATTTTGCTCGACTCTCATGTCACCTTGACGTCATCTTTGCCTACGTGACTTGCGCTGTACCTACTCTTTGCACGCTGTTTGTCATTAAAGGAAGTGCCCAAAGCCATTCTTCGTTTGTTCAATGGGTTTTCTGGGCTTGTTGTCCCCCAATAAACTTTCGTGGGCGCCAAGCGGGCCCCCTGTCATTGTTCAAACTGAAGTATTATGGCCATGCGAGTTTCCAGTGGTAATGGTGGCCTGACGAATCATGATACAGTATTCCAAGAATTTTTTCGCCCGAGAAGGTGGGTGCCAAAGACAGGCAGTTCATCTTCGCATTCATTTCGAAGTTCCGTGGGGACGGGGTGTGTGGTGAGACTTCACTGTCTTAGACAGAGAACCATGAGCACGCCTGTGCCCCTTGAGAGATGCATTTGGTCACTGGGTCTTAACCCTGACCGGAGCATACAAGAGATGTCTTCGAAATCACTGTTTTCTGGCATTTTACGCAAAACTGAGTTATAGCGGTCGCACCGACCTTCGCGTCATCTTGAACCATTGTTGTATTTCGGCAGGCCGGTTGCATTAGAAGAGAGACGCGAAAGCCAGATGGGATAGCGGGCGTCGACTAGACTTCCCGCATCAAGAACATGGCTGTAGAGGCGCGCGCATATCCCCTGTAGCCCGGCCGTGCCTGTATACACAACATATCTCTATTCGGCTTTCTTTGATATTGTATATATTAGCGTGTACATACCATATTCCCTCGACATTTGTGCAGATAGAACGCGGGTGTTGTGGCCTACCACGCTTGCGGTCATTACTGGTCCGCACTTGCCATTTGGTAATGTCTAAATCACGGAGTGTTGAATGCGTATTGTTGTATCATGCGTTGGACGCGACGCACGGAGAACACGAGTCCCGAAGCGCCGGGAAGATTGAGTAGAAAGTGACATGGCCGAGACCAGGGCGGAAGCTCTCTTTATTCTTCCCATTCGCGGTGTTAAATACCCCCGTGAAGCGCCCCCTGAGCGCGATGACCCGAAACCGAAACCACAACCAATTGGCCCAATACTGCACATATGGCCAAATAATTGCTATAATGTTGGCTAGGAATGACTTACCATAGCCAAATGTCGGCTACAGTTGCAACATATTGGCTATATTATGCCTAAATTATCGGAAATTAAGGCTATTAAAGTAACATTGTGTTCATTCGATTCCAATCTGCATGTCTGTAGACAGCAACCTGAGTTGGTACTGGCTGATTTTTTTAATGCAGATCAGTTTGTGCAAGCCTATCAAGAACTGATTCGCGATTTTCATCGCGAACTATGACGTCATTAGAAGGTTCGTGGGTAGCTCTGAAAAAGGTTCCGACAGAAAACTTTGAGAAAGTTACCCAACTCGGGACTCGAACTTTCGACTATCTGGTTTTCGAGGACAGGAAATGAACGCGCCGACCATTGCGCCGAAAAAGGCAAGCAAATCACTTGGCGCGAACGCATCATGCGTCCCACTGTCGAAAAAGACGGCGCCGCTTCATAGGAGTGGTGCAGCGAGTTTCTGCTTCGTGGTGTACATTCAAGACTGACTTGGGCTATAGGGAAACATGTGCTAGCGAAAGCACGACGCCTTCACGCGCCGTTCGAGGAGCACACGATGAACTATATGTGAAGCTGAGCGCGTCTCAACGTACCACAGACACCACGGAGTCGGTTCAAAATGTTCGGTGGACATGTGTCAGTAGGTGCCACCCGCGTAGAAGGCTTCCATGCCGGCCCAAAGGGAATGCTCATTGTACAAAATGTTTATTCACTTCTAAACAACTGCATCTCGTGATACAACGCTTATGAATACTCCTATCACTGGCGCAACCAGTAAAAAAAAAAGGGGGGGGGGGGGTAAATCATGTTCAAATGTTTGCAATTTCGCCTGTGTGTATTGTAACGTGTTGTTGTAGACATCTGAATGAACAAAAGAAACGGTACGGGCCGGCAAATTGCAGAAAGGCAAGGAGGATGACATGAGAGCTCAGCCGACGATACCATGTTCCTGTTTTAAATGCTTGGTTCCTTTCTGTTGGGCTGCCATTCTGGGATTTTATCATTATAATATACACGCACACACACATACGCACGCACGAACGTAAATAAAGCATGGCTGAACACCCTTTATTTACAACCTCACCCCCCCCCCCCCCCCCCCCCCATATTTTCTGCCTAAAGCCCTTGTTCCTACGATATGTACAGTACAATATATAGGGATCAACGACCACCGCCTGCATGGACATTGGTGTGGGTGGGTTTCGCATGAAGCCGCACGTATTCTCAAACACGCAGCGTGCCCGACGGAAAACGCGGCACTCAGACCGCCTTCCGCAACCGTGACATTGTGGCGAGCTGAAGCAGCTCCTTTTTGTTCCACGGCGCATGCAGCGTCGGCAGAATAACACGCGCACTTTTCTCCGTCGCTGTCTTACCGGGAAAGCGGCGGTAATTGCGAGACGGCAGCGAGAGCGCGGCTCGGGCTTCGTGCCTGCATGCAGCAGCGGGGCGGAATAAACAGCAAAACGGTAGCAACGTCCTTTCACTTTCTAGTCTTGCCGGGTTGAAACGCTCGTGAGACCCTTCTTTGTCATTGTTTTTTTATTATTATATACTCACTGCGTATACACATAGCTGGGTCACCGTGCGTTCATTGTTTTCCCGCCTCCATGCCGAGCTGTCGCGAAGGAAGGCCGAGATTGCGGCAAGGAAATCAGGAGAAGTCAGAGTCGACAAGTGCATGATTTACGAACCTTTTCTTCCGCCACATGTACGCTCTGATAGCCAGGTGTGATTGAAAGCGCCCGCTGACTGCCGACGGCGTAATCGCAATGCCTGACTTTTAAGGTGACGCTAAAGAGAAAGACGATTCCTGTCGCGCTATAGTAGGTTAGTCTGTCACATTACCAAAAAAAAAAAAAAAAACAACGCCTTCTGAAGAAAAAAAAAACACTTCATGAGCAAGAAAAACGAGAAAAAAAAGTGGTGGTGGGGTGAGCCCCAGGTTCCCGCATTATTTACCGTGGACGTCATAGATTTTGACGGTGCCTAACTAGTTCCTAATACTTAATAATGAAGTTCGTTGTCTGTGTGGAGAGGCTTAACATACCATGTTTCAGGAAATGTTGTTGCGCCATTGTGTCCAAGACCCGAAATGACACCTTGAAATCCCTGAAGTGACGAATAGAGGCGATGTCGCCGATGATGCAGGTGATGACATCAGTGTTAGATGAACTTTGCTGATGAGCTATTTAATATTGTCGATGTAAGCGAACACTTTCGGCATGCAAGCCATAAAAAAACGCACATCATCGGATTCTGTGTTCGCCTAAGTATTTCTCACGTCGTTAGCTATCGAAAAATGTCAATAAGTTTTCTGGAGAAGCACATTTAGTGTTCATCAGGGCGAGGGCGGCGACGTGAATACTTGCATTCTGGGCGAATAAACTACGTAGCCTGTTTCGTTAAGACCTGAACCATGGTGCCGAAGGCGGTGTATTGTCGAACAGCACATCAGCACGATAGCTGCTACGTGTGCACGATGTAGACTACTGATGTACTACGTGTTCTTTCTTGCATATGCAACCTGGTGCTCCGCGAAAGGACGCATGCAACGCCCCGCTACGGTGGTCTAATGGCTATGGTACTCGGCTGCTGCCCCGCAGGTCGCGGGATCAAATCCCGGCTGCGGCGGCTGCATTCCCGATGGAGGCGGAAACGTTGTAGGCCCGTGTGCTCAGATTTGGGTGCACGTTAAAGAAGTGGTTTTGGGACGTTAAACCCCACATATCAATAAATCAATCAAGGACGCATGCAACGGGCCGCGACGCCCTTCTATCCAGCGTGTCTCGATGTTCACCTTTCGAAGTTCCAGCGCTCGGATCAGAATCGACATGTCCCCGCTTGCAGAAGCATTGTGAGTAATAAGCGAATTTTAGGATGGTCTTCAACGCCTATAGATGAAAGTTGATACATTTAGAAAACGTCGACATTGTCGCGTCTCACTCGAGCTGCCGTAATCGCTTGTGCTGACCACTTGCCTGTCACTCGCGTGTAGCCCATAGCTCGTTCAGAACGTCACACGATCTTCCAAGGGTGGCAACAAGTTTCCTCCAACATGACCCGTGCCCACTGCACAATTTCTTTTTCTTACGTAGAACTAGTTGCGTTACAGCGCCCAAATAACGATCATGATTTGAAAGGGAAATCCATTTAAGCGAAGCAAGTAAAATATACAAAAGAACGGAAAATTGCCACTAAATGGTTTCGTTATACAGACAGGAGAGGTAGTCACAGTTTAGGTTGCCCATGAGGACATGTTTCCAAGCTAACACCTCTCGCCCGAACAGCACACTATTCTGCGGCAGACTGTGTGCATGAAAAATGCCGTTCCCGTAGAAAAAATAAACAAAAACAAACAAACAGGAGAGCCGGCGCGCGTACACACACTCACGCGCGCGCCGGCGAGCGAAGGGGAACGACCAGCGAAAATAGGTGAACTCGAGAAAGTCGGTCCTCACGCCGGCCGCCGTTGAACCCAACGCGGTGGTCAGGTGAGTGTGAAAAGTGGAGGGGGAAAACGGACCCCCTCCTCCTTGCCTTCGCGTCTTTCCATTCCTTCTGGGCGGCGAATGAAAGTCCCCTCATTGCCGGTCGGGCACGCGCCGCCGGCCACGCTGACGCCGCCGCGCACTGGACCGGTCGCCTGGAGCGAGCGTACCTCGTGCGCCCCCCCTCCTAGCACCGAGAGCATCGTGAGGTTGCAGCGACCGCTAGTGGGACGTCCCGCTATCTTCTCAGTGTGTGTCTTGTGTGTAAGTGCCAGACGTACGATCACTGCCCGAAGGCACCTCTCAGGTCTACTCGCCAGCCGCGGTTCAGTATACAACTCGGATTCACTGCAAGCGCGAGACGTCGACCTGCAATAGCAACGCCACTCCTCACGTGCCTCAACCCCTGGAAACGGACACTCATTCGTGAATCGACACTGTCACTATAAAGAAGTGAACAAGTGAACGACTTCTACTGTCAAGTTGTACGTGCACTCACTTTTTAGGCTCAACCGCGTGGTTTTGCCCGGTAAACAAGCGGTGACTGTGTTTTTGGACCTGGTGCTATAGGTTTAATTACGTCGCATACCCTCCGGACTCCGAAGCGAAATCGTCAAGACCATATGCCGAGCAGCTAGAAAGCTGCGCTGTCATCGGGTGACGCGACGACTGACAAACGACACCCCTTGGTCTTTGATACGCTTGCCGTCGAAAACACTCCAAAAGACGGTCCCGTTTACGTGCCACGAATTAGATGTGTGCCAGTGATTGATCGGTGCGCGCCGACTGTCTGCTGCGCAAGCGCAAAACATTGACACGTGCAGCGGCGTCTAGACGGTAGTGACTTGACAGACCGCTGGCAACGCTCCCACCGACAGGCGTCGAAGTCCTTTTAGCGCCATACAGCGAGACGTGGGTGATTTTCTACCGGCGGCCGCCGGGATTTGGCGCCGAACCACCCTCACCCCTTTCCGGAAAGGATCGAGCTCTGATTGCGTGGAAATTCAAAGCAACCGTAATGCGGTCGGCCTCCAAGCGTAACCTCCGGCAGAACGGGTAAGCGCCTTTTAATGTTTGCGCGGCACAGTGCTGCGGCCTCCTCGCCCGGAAAATTGCCCGATGATTATCCGCGCCAACAAAGTGTGCGGCACCTGTCGCCCGCACTGTTTCTGCCCGCCGGCTTTGAGAATTTTTTTTCCCCCCACTTTTATCCTCGAGAAACAGCCACGGAAATTCTCTGCCCGATGACGCCATTTCTTTCAGTGGTGCGCTTGTCCCCGCTGAAAACAGTCGCCAGCAACATTGTTTCTCGTTTGTGGGACGTTTTGCGCGCGTCCGCTGCGAGGTATAGCCGTAGGTGTCACATTTCGGTAAAAGCAAAATGCTAGAGGCGCGTGTACTGCAAGATGAAAGCGCACGCAAATAGAACAAATGGTCTAAATTTATGGACCCTCCTCCCCCCTTTTTTTTCCCCTACAGCAAGCCTCACAATCATGTGAAATGGTTCCGAGACGCGTCAAAGCGCCAGATATTCATATTGGGACGTAGTGCGTGGACAATGTACCAAGTGAGCTATAGGCTCCGTTCATTACGGAATAGATTTCAGCGCAGGTTAATTTCGATATACCTGTCAAACCAGGGGTGCAGCCAGAAATTTTTTTATGGGGGTGGGAAGTTCAATGATATGTGTACGTGCGTGCGTTTGTAAATTCGCATGTATGTATACGCAAGCAAAATCGAAAACTTGAAGCTACACCCATGGGACAAACTGACGAGCACGGGACCGCAAAGAAATTCGTAAATGATCTGTTATAAGGGGGTTTATTCGAAGCTTCGAATTCTGTTGTGGCGAAAAAAAAGAGTGACTCAAGTTCAAAGAGTCACGACAGTTCTAATGGCATGGGACGACGCGCTATATTCGGGACCCACTTTCTGAGTGTCCCACAAAACGTGAAAGCTCTGACTCATTTTGATTCAGATTCCCATAATTTCGAGGCGATGGTTTCAGTTTCACAGAAATACGAGGAAAAGTTTGGCTCCTTTAGTGACCGCTCACTTAATGTCGCAGGTGTTCCCCTCGTTTATAAAGTCATGGTCCTTGTATTCCCTTCAAAGAGAGACTTTATAGGAAGACCGCTTGAGTACAATTCCTGTCACGTTTGCGAACGAGTTAAACAAGTGTCCACAAACCGCCTTTTTGTGTTTTGCAGGTGGCTAATTGGCTGTGGAGAAAACAGGAAAGAACGAACGTTGCGAGGCAACATGCCGTTGTGGGTGGGCGGAAGTTACCGAATTCCGGCACATATGATTACTAATGTTAAAATGTTTCTGACCCGCACAAAGGGTGCCTTCTTCATTACGTGCACTTACATGCTTGTATCGGCTGCATAGTCATGACTACAGGGCACATATGAAACTCCTCATGGCTCGAGCATGGCCGCTGTTCTGCCCTGGAATATAGTTGGCCCTGGAATATAGTTGTGCGTTCGCGATGGCAGACCTCAGTGCTTTCCTCGGTCGAGGCGTACGCTGTATACTGGAAAAGGGGGCGTGACGAACACGTGAACTTGTCTGTGGAAATGTAAAAGGCGTAGAAACTGGAGCTGCTAACCTCACTTAACATCGTGCTCATAAGTGCGCATGCGCTTAATTACCGCATATTACAAAATTTGTAGAAACCCGACTTTGTTCTTGTTGGTGTTGGTGCTGTGTTCTTGTTGGTGTTTGCGCTCTTTTCCGCCGCTTGGTGGTGTGAAGAAAAAGTGACGCCCTAAACGCGCCTCGTCTTCTTGCACTCAGTGTGCAAGATACTTCGGCTACAAAGCACACAGTAAATTGCAGGCCACATTAGTATTCCAGTGATTTACCACGAATAGGGTGATTAACTCTGCATAAATAGCGCGAAGTGCATACCCCAGTATTGCCGCGTCCCCGTTCCACATATCGACAACAACCGAGACATTTACAGATGGCGTGGTGTCTTCGTGGGAAATTTACATGTCTTTACAGTAATGTTTAACGCGTGCCGTCTCGAATCTCATATGCGTTGTAGAGGCTAGTTTGCTTTATCAGGGCATGCAGACAGAACTAGACTTACACGGATTCGCCGTTGTTTTTTTACCATTTTACTACATCACAGTTTTATACATGGCAAAGCTCGCATGAACGGCGAAAAGGCATCCGCTGGTAGTCGAAAAGAAATTCTTGAATATCATTAGTTTCATCACCTCTGTTACGTGACTGCACGATACTTACGGCCTCCCGCTAGGCATGGCACATACATTCTAACATGAAGCCAGTTGTGCCACGTTATCTTTTTTTTTTCGCATACCCATTGATTCTTTAGATCAGATGGCATTTTCCCCGTGTGTTTGCTCACGGAAATTGCTCAGCTCCCTTGTCAGTGTTATGAGACCGCGCTGCCATTTGTTAATGGCGCTGGGCGTTTTGCTGTTTACTTTATTTCTCCCGTACAACCCATAGAAAGTCATTTCGAGTATGCGCGTACTATTCACAAGGCTTCAGGTAGGCACGAGCTAATTACTTCTCGTGGTGATGGCTTGCGACTTCCACTGGCTTTTTAGTTTCTCCAAAGGAAAAAAAAACAATTAAAATAACTGCCCTATAATTGCATTTCGCTTCGTTCATTTGGTTCGCAATACAGTCGGTGGGTTTTTAAGGAAACAGAATAAACACGTATTCCTTGCTTAGATCAGTTTCTCTTTCTATGTTGTAGTCCCCAAACGAGATGCGATACCTTGATTCCGGTGTACCAAGGCTACGAGAAACCATTACAGAATCGTTACGTAATAGCAGTAGATAGCATTGAACCAACCTTGTTATTTATAAAAGGTTTAGTTTCTTAGTTATAAAAAGTAACGGCGCATGCCGTTATCGTTCGCTTATACATATGTACTTCTCGTACCCCTTTCTGTAAGACATTGCGTAGTGTCCTACGTTTCTATTTTCTTCCTTTGCACGCTATGCGGTCGCCCTTTGGCCTGTCCGACTCGTTGTACCATCCTGTAACGAATGACAAATCGCTGTGCGCGATCCGTGTCGCACTGAAAGAGGTCGACCCTGAGGCAGATTCTGTCGATCGATGCGCGCGGAAAGTTGCCAATCGGCTAACAGATGTTTGCCACCGAAACCAGAAAGAAAGGGTTGTATTGGATCGGGAGGGTGGATGACAGAGGGAGAGGACGCATAATGTGAACGAAGAGAGAAAAAGCCCGACGGAGAGAGGAGGCTCCCCAAGTTCAGAGAGGAGCGCTTGCAGTGACGTAAGGAAAAAGGAAAGGAGCAGCTGAGAGAAAGTATAGTGCTCTCCGAGGAAAGTCCGACCTGCGCGCGACCGGATCGGATAGAAGCGTTCGAATTTCTTGCTCCTTCCTCCGTGCCGCCTCTCCTCTTACCTAATCCTCCGGTTCCGACACAATTAGGAGGCCGGTTGAGCAGCGCGGGCTTTTCAGTAGCGCCCGAGCGGATGTTGGAAGAGTGTCCGTGCGGTGGGCCTCTGTGTCGTCTGCTGCTATCTCGAGCAGACGGTATCTTCGGTTTTGTCATCGCCAGGTGGCTACCGTGCGTGTAAACCAATGTCTGCATCGTGATTGTCGGCGCCATGTGTTTCGTGACTTCTTCTTGCACGGCTGCGTAAACTTCGACTGTGCAGCGAGGACAACGCGGTCGGTAGCCGTGTCGTGTCGCATGTGTGATCGCGGGTGCCACCGGCCCGGATTGGTCGCGGCGGCGTCGTTCGTGCCCACGCTTTCGCGCCCATTTGGTCGACGCTCTCTCGTGGTCGCGCGAGGAAATGGATTTCGCCAGCACTGTCGCCGCGTGAGACGCACGACACCGCCACCTCCTATCTTCTTTTGAGGTGAGCCGATTGGGGTTTTTCGGTAGCGTGCGTCAATCTTGTCGTGTGTACGGCCGCCCGTTTTGAAGTAGGATCGCCTTTTTGCAGCCTTTATATTTTATTCTGCGGCATTTTCTTTCGTCACCGTACATCTTACCGCACCCGGCCAATGCAAGTGCAGTCGCGTGTGAACTTGTAGATCCGCAGCATACACAATAAAATGTCCCGGTATACATTTGGGACAAAGCTTGCGCCGAGGTTCGCGTGTTCGCGTTCTAGGATAGATGCTCCACAAGTGCAGGCAGTAATCGACTTTACAAAGTAAACCAATGGAGTTGCATCGAAACTGGGTCGTTATTTTTGTTAGGCGTGCCACGTGAGAAACAAGCTCAGTGCTTCGGTCATTGTATGTGGTCAAATCATGCGCAAGGTAAATGAAATTGAAAGTGTACTTGCGATCACTCGCCGACTTCAGTATATGTCTTACTTGTTCGATTTTTTTTCACACCTATTATTTTTCCAATATTTCGCTAGCGATGTGTGACAACATTGCATAGCGCGTGTTCAAGCGAAGTTCAGCATACGTGTTCGGTGAGGCTTGACGAACTTGAGTTACTTTAATAAACAGGCCAGCCGCCGAGCAAAACTCGTTCCATGTCGTGACTAAAGCAAGAATGAATGTTATACTATACTTTCTCTTATGGCTAGGGTTCATGTTTATTTGTTTGTAATTCATTGGCCTGGCTCAATGCTGCATATTGTATGCTGAAAAGCGAAATTGAACTTCCGTTTCTTTACCGACGGCACGAATTCCACTCCCAGTCACGGCGACCACATTTTCGGGGGGGAGAAATGCAGAGAACAGCTGTGTACTTAGATCTATAGGTGCACGTGAAAGAACCACAGACGAAAGAAATTATTTTGGAGTCACCCGGCTATACGAAATGCCTATTAATCACATCGTGGTCTCCGCGCGTAAAATTTTAGCAACTGCTACTGTTTGTTTACTAACCCTTTGCTCAAGACGTGTGGGTACATTTGGCACAAATTTTAAAGATCAATAACACATTGCAGATGGAAAGCGAGATGAAGTTGCTTTCATGAACCACGTAGCTTTTTTATGCAGTGTTATTTGCTGTATACTTGAATTAACTGCATTAGGGAGAGAAGGAAATGCAGTGCGAGCGATCCAGTTGCACGGGGATAAAAAGCGTTGAGGACTGGGTGAGTCGACTGTAGTTACAAGCGTTGCCAGATTTTTATTTTTTTTAGTGGGAGGAACTTTCATACATTTTCATTCGTGTTTGTATGTGTGCGCATATATACACACACATGTGCGAAAATGGACAAAAAAAAATTGGGGGTGGGGTGAGCTGACCATAACCTCGCCAACGTGGGCTAGAAGAGGAGATCTCGTACGGCAAATCACGTACTGCAACGTAAGGTTGTAGTACATAGCGGTGTTACGGACAGCGCAGGCTCGACTTGACCAAAGAGACAATGGAAGAGAGGGAAATAGTTCTCTTCAGGAAGCGGCTCTGTTCTGCGTGGTATAATGCGTCGATAACTTTAGCGGCAGAAGAAGCCGGAAAGCAGTGCAGCGTCGGCGATGCGGAGGCTCGCGCTAACGGTGAACGCTGTCCGGGAAAGCCCGCCATAACAATCCAAAGACCGAGTCGAGGACAGTTGCGTTCGGGAGGCAATGGCGCGAGACGCGTACCGGCGCCGAACGTCTACGGCAAATAGAAAGCCAAACAGGCGGGGTACGTAGGTGCCACTTCGGTCCACGAGTCAGGTGCGGAGACTCCTTCTCGGTGTATCTTTTTTTTTCTTTCCTTCGCAAACACGGCTCCAGGGATGCGCTCGAAATGCCGCATCCTATTTTCGGTCGGTGTCTGATCTTCACTGAGAGGGGGCCCGTGGAGGAGCCGCTGTTTGTTTTTTCCACATCTGCGGTGCCGAATATGAAGCGCCCGGCGAAATGTGGAAAGGGGGTACTTGGACAGAAATGGGCGCTTTGCTCCGCCGAGGTAAGGAGGAAGCACTCCCGTCGTGCATTGTTCTGGTTCGGGGGGGACCAGGAAGCAAGGTCGCCCCTGGAAGATCTCTGCCGCACGAATTCACACGCTCACGGCGTTGCACGCACGCACGGCATCTCCGTTGTTTCGCTAAAGCGCAGAATGACGCGCGCTTTGCTCGCTCTGCGATGGGACCGCGTGGTATACACTGCTGAGCTAGTATGTGGCGGGCCACAATCGCGCCGAGCAAAGATTCTGTGCGTGTGTGGTGCAAGGAATAGACATCAAAGGAACAACATAATAATGACAGTCGGGGCCTCACGTTCTGTAACCACGATATTTATGTTATTATTTATTTATTCACAATACTGCCAGTCTCCAAAGAGACCATAGCAGGTGGGCACTACAGTATACAGTTACAAAAAGCACTTAACACTTGCAGGATCATAAATTGGTAAATAATGTGTAAAAATACAAATCAGCAAACTTGAAGCATACAATCAGCACTTATGCACGCCATACACACCAAATACAAGTGAATGCTGGTTTGCATGTCACAGAAAAGCAGACATATCAAGGACGCTAAAAGACGTTCTTTTCAATTATTCATAAGAAATCGCACAATGACTGGGCATTAGTGGTGAAAGGGGTTAACAAATTCCATTCGTGGACGGCAACTGGAAAAAAAGAGTATTTAAACGCATCATTGTTACATTTATATTCTAATACAGTATTTGTATGTTGGTGTCGTGTAGCTCGTGTTTGCGAATATTCAACGTAGTTTGAGACATCTATTTTGAAATAATTATGTAGGAGTTGATAAAGAAATTTCAAACGTGCCTGCTTCGCCCGTGTTTCGAGCGTGGGAAGCCCAGAAACAGCTAGATACGATAGCAAGTGACGCCGTAGTCGAGGGCTTCATATAAATTTCGACCGACTGGTGTTCTTTTAGTGTAAGAGCCTGCAGCACTTCGCCTCCACAGGAAATGCGGGCCGGAAATCGATCCTTCAGGTCTGCATTCGCGTACCATAACCACTACGCGACCGTGGAGGGTAAAAAAGAAAAATTTTCATGGGCAGGTGTGGTTCTATATCGTCACTACACAAACTCAGTGCGCGGTTGCCCCATTGCAGGGCCATGAGGGAACAAAAAGGCTGCAGCGGTAGAACAGCGATTTGAAAAAAATAGTTGTTTGTACATTGTAGGCTGTTTATCGAAAAGAGAAAAAAAAAGACGGTATATGCGTGTTTTGTCAGCGTGGGCACATGTTTTTACTGCGGTATATTCGTGCTCAAAATATGTAGTGTTTACTCTGCGTACCATGCACACTGTACGTACTTTTATGGTATCACGGTCTTGATTACATCTTGGTTTCCTCGCAGTTTATGTTACCAGGTACGAATACTGCAGCACGAAAAGTGCGAATAAACTTATCTATTTTGTAAACGAAAGAGGATTTGGAGCGGTGTTCTTATTCGAGGATTGCACGCCGAATATGCTCCGTAAGCTATTGACTACGTAGTTAGGGAGGTAGTGGGTGGGTTCGGCGGTTTTGCCCACCAACAGGATCTTTTGAATTTTGCGTGTGTATATATACACGCACACACCAACTCACGCACGCACGTATATATAAATGGTGACTACATCTCCCCTTCGAAAACAATTTTTGCCTACGCCCATGCCCAAAAATCCTTCGGTGCTTTCGTAGTTGCATAGAATGCACAATATACCAGCGTACTATGTCTTTATAGCACGCACTCACAGTAATTGTTTGCAACACCGCTGTGTTTCGTAACATCGTTTGTTTGTTTTTTTTTTACTTCCGTGGTGACAAAAAAAATCACGTAGTCATTTCGTTCTACAATTTCCCAGATTCGCTGGACGAGTGCGAAAATACTTCCCCCTGCAGCGTCGGGGGTCGCCTACACATGACCTCTGGTTTCTTAAGCTGACGCAACATTTCATGAACACTGTATGACGGTAACAGCAGGATTTGGCCCGGATGTGTTCACCGAAGCAGTAGGGACTGACTAAACGTCAGCACACTTCCTGCGAAGGCCTTCAGAAACGCCCGTCAAGTACGATTCGCTTCGCAAACAATGCGTCAAGCGTGGCAAAGAAGCTTATACGACAGGGCAGACTCCGTTCGGACCCCATGCAGACTACCTTAGAGAAATGGCAACGTCTCCTTTGTCGCCTACAACGCATTAGTCGATCAAGACCTTCTTAGTTATTTAGTATGTCCGAGAAACAAACGTAAACAAATGTTTGGTCGCTGAAGTCGTTGTAATCCTTAGTGAATTCTAGCACCACTCTATGCCCACGACGCCTTAACTTGCTTTATTTTCAGTTCTGCGTGCAAGCGCAGCTGAACCTGTTCGCCGAAACAAAATGGGGAGCCATTAATGGCTGTCTGAAAGTGAAGGATTAGTTTCAAATTGTGGCAAAAATATGTCGGCTTCACTGGCGTAGCCGAGGGGCATGCGCATATGCACACGCATGTTTATATGCATGCTCACACGCGTGAACGCATGCACGGACATACATGAAGTATACTTGAACCCCCCGAAAAATTTCTGCCTACGCTACTGATCGATTTCTCTGCCCGTCTCCTGTTCTGTTCCAAGTGTGTTGCTGTGTACAGGTTGATGTCCATATTGCCTCGGCTACTCCATATCAATAAGTTCTGCAGCGAAAAAAAAAAAGAATAATACTGAATGTTACCCAAAAATGGACAATCTAAAAAAAAAACTAACATAACATCACACTGAAACCAGTTGAAATATCATGCAAATGCACAATTTGCTTGCAGCAGTTCACACTGCTATAAACTGTTCACACGCACACCTTCTTTTTCAACTGTCACTATATGCACAGACACATTTCATATATATCAATCCCTCGCTGTCTATCACAGGCGCTTATCCAATCCGGTCTCCACTAAAAAGCCTGTCGGGGAAATGTCCGCCTTTTTCTGACGATGCACCTCAGGCCATGGTCCG